CAATAGAAGCGCTGGAAAACGCACATACCACTAAAGCAAAAAGCCTTCTTTTCTCGCTGCCCTGCTGGAAAGGTTTGCCTGCATCAAAAAGTGCGGCAAAACAGAAGTTAGTTTACCTCAATAGAGTAATTTTCAGGCTAAGTTTAATGCCCAACCACAGAAAAAAAAAAGAAAAACTACACACACTGCGCTAGGATACGGGCAAAATGCAAAAATAAAAATACAGGTCATTTTAACAGGTCCATACATAGCCGAAAATTGCAGGCTCAAAAATTTTGACTTCACATCTTTTGCAGTTCTGTGGTTAAATTGCCAAGGTACAAAAAAAAAGAACAACAGACGCATACGAATCCAGTGTCAAAATGCTGCATTCTTCCTACATTAATGGTGAAAAAACCCGAGGAAATGTAAGGAACTGAGTGGAAGGGGGGTAAAATTCACGCAAATCATGGCCAAAAAAAATGTGAATTCCTCGGAAAAGCAAAAAAATGTCGACAGAAGGTTTTTTTATTATTCAAATCACCTTAGAAAGGATAACCTGAAAAACTAATCGGCTTAAAAAAAAGTTAAATCTATTGACTTAGAAAACGCTAAAATACGGAGTGGATAAAACGAAATGTTAGCAAGAGAAAGCTACTTCGAAGGTGAGACTTCGGACAGAAAATGCTGAAACCGGGAAGCGTGCCCTTGGCGTCGTACGGTAAGAAAAGGTCAAATTTTTCTTTTTTTTTCCATCAAACTTAATCTAAAAATTACTCCGCTGAGGCATGTTCAGATGAAAAAGGCTAGGGCATAAGTGAAAGCCAATTGCTAAAAGCTTTAGAGAACCAAATTTCAGAGCGTAAAATTTACTACTTCTTGTTATAATCTTTTTAATAACCATAAAATATTCAATTTACCTGTAGGATTCGGTTAGATGAGGATAAATCACTTGGGTATTGCCTTTGGTACCCATTGTACCCGACTCAAGCAATGGTAAGCGATAATAAATGCAACGGCGATCCATGTAACGCCCTGAAAAAAGCAGTTGACTTTCACAGCATACATTTTTTTTTCTTCGGTAAATCATTGATCACAGATATGCGTTTTAGCTTTCAAACAGCAAAAAACTATGTGCTTTCCAACAGGCATGGTGGCCCCTAATCAATCAACGAATTACAACAATCTATGACACTAAGAGTGCTGGATGTGGAACTCTTGATGGTGCTGAGATGCAACCAAAAACTACAAATAACTCTTTGACGTGCTCTGATTATCGGTGTCCTGTTGTTATTCACCGCATCCACCCAGTTTATGCAACACGTTTTGTCTGGGAAATGTTTGAACGATCGCTTGAAAGCTTTTCATCTTGTCAGTACCGCCACTTTATTTGTATCTAACACTACGAAACAAATGATTTCACAGCCGGCGAATTTTATCCTTTCCCGCAATCATGATAATATTCAACTTACCACTGATCAGAGGAAAATTCCACGCTTCATAAAAATTTCTTTTTTAAATTTAATCTTTAAGTTTCAAATTTTAAAAGTAAAAATAAAAATCAAAAAAATTCCTTCCCTTCCTACCCACTCTTCCACCTCATTGACCAAATTCCTGGAATCCTATACCGCGATACCTTTGTGCCCTCCTTTCTTAATGCAAATCTACCACCTGCAACCTAGTAATTCGGGATCTTGCATATTCCCTGATGTTCTGTACTCTGACAGTAAGAAGTTAGCAAAGACCACATCGATGCAACTAACGAGCATCAACATTGTCAAGTGCATTGAG